CAGGTGTTTCTTAAGCACCTGGAAAATTCAAGAGTTCTCACACCCCAAAGAAGACAACTTCAAATCTGACATTTGTGACTATTCTTCTTAAGCTAGCCTCCTAGTTTCAATTCTTAAGATACTGATGTAGGTATAGATGTCTTTTCCTTTAAGAGATTTGTAGTTATTTAGAAAAGCACCTGGGATTTACTTGTGTGCCTGTCCTAGAACTTTCTCATGGTATGGCAGCTCACTGATTTTGCAGTTTGCAACTCCATCAGAGCCTCTCATACCTCCAGCCCACCCAATCCAGCTTCTTCCAGGCTCCCCCATCCCAGAGGATGATGCCATCATCCACCCATTTTCTCTCCTTTTTCTGGCACCCATAAGATCCACACCATCCACAAGTCCTGCCCATTCCTATTCACCTCTTCAAGCCAGGACACCACCATTTACATGAGTCCCATTAACAACCTCCTCATTGGGTGCCTTACCTCCATTTTTATGTAGACACTGCCCACGCTTTGTACATATTGATAAAATAGTATTAAAAAACAGATCACTTGAACTGGGGATGTGGCTAGTGGTAGAGTGCTTGCTTAGCATGCTCAAGGACCCAGGTTCAATCCCAGGGCCACCACAAAATAAAACAAACCAAACAATAAAACTCCCCCCCAAAAAAGAAAAAAACAGATCACTTGATTCATCTACATAACACCACATGATCTCAGAAAAGTCCAATTTGTCCCAGGGAACAAAGTTCTATACAAGGTGTCCCCTGCCTCGCCCTCCAATAAGGGTGCAGCCCCTGCCTGCTCCTACACCTCCTGCCCTGTATTCACCTTACTTCTCTAGAGAACACACCAGCTGTTTGAGATAGGGACACACCAGGCCCATCCTGAAAAGTGTGTCTTTGTGCCTCAGTCATCCCCATCATGCTCCTCTCGCTGATCTGCACACAGCTCACTCCTGACATGTATATTTCAGCTTCTCAGAAGTTTTCCTTGACCATGCAATCTAAAGAGCCATGAGAGAGTCCCCATAACTCAGAATACTATCAGAATAGATTCATCTTGTCTGCCTGCTGTGAGAACCCAAGTTCCTCATTCAGGAGACTCACTGTCCTAGCATGCACAGCCAAGATACAACTGAGGCACTAACTGCTTTGTGGAGAAAGTACACAAGCACTGAAGGTGGCCCACATGCCAGGGTAACATTGTCACTGGGCCATTCCCTTTGTTGCCCATTAGAGTGCAGTGTATTTCCAATGGCTCCACATGGGTATATTTTGGGTTCTTATAAACAAATGAAGTTCTATTCCTTATCATCCATCTGCAACTTGTTTCTAGTTGCTCCAAGAGTCTGGCTTTCTTTAAATGATCATTTTTTCATTTGCCAAAACTAGAAAGTCAACCATGTCAACAGGCGCCCCCTGGTTTACTGAGCTAAGTTTACTTATTTCTTTGTGAACACTCAAATTTGAGATTGGGGAACCATTGAAATGTAAGCCTCAGCACATCACTGAAATCACATCAAATGTAATTCATCATTTTTACTCTTTTTGCACCAAGTTCTACAGAGCTAACAATTCTAGACAAGTACATTTTTCTTTTCTTTTTTTTAAAGAGAGAGAGAATTATTAAATATTCATTTATTTATATATTTTGTAGTTTTTGGTGGACACAACATCTTTATTTTATTTTTATGTGGTACTGAGGATCAAACCCAGTGCCCTGTGCATGCCAGGCAAGCATGCTAATGTTTGAGCCACATCCCCATCCCAAGACAAGTAACATTTTTCTATCTAAAAAGTGACCATACTTTATTTTTATCCAATAGTCCATCTACATGTTGAAAACTATTCTAGCCACTTCTAAGGCTGACAGAGCGGCCCTGCTAGAGCTGTCTAATGATGCCACTTTGTCCCCTACATAGGCACTTGAACACATGGATAATAGATGAAGCAGCCTTAGTCCCCAAAGGGGACTATGTTCATACTGTATATCTAAGGTTCCTAAATAAGACTTCAGAGAATTTGATTCTACTAAGGTTAAAAATTCTAAGGTTCAAATATATTTTATAAATAAAATTTCCTACCTGCTGGTAGAGGTCCACAATGCTGGTTTGGCTGCCATCTGTTTTTTTAAATGTATCTCTGGGAGTCAATCCCAGTTGACAGCATCCACCCTGTAGGTTCTGTTGTTGTATCTGTGGTGTAATCCCAACATAAGAGGGTATTCCTGACTTAGTCATTGCATACAAAAGTATTTTTAATCCTCCAAGTAATTGTAGGATATATCGATACTCAATTCACATACTGTACAACTCACCCATTTAAGTGGATTAGCCAATGGATTTCATTGCATCTGCAGAGGTGTACAATCAACAATCTTAGTATATTTCTACCTCCCAAGAAAGAGCATCATAACCATAAGCAAGCAGTCATTTCTACCCCAGTCTCCTAACCCTAAGTCAGCTAGACATCAACTTTCTACCTCCTAAGAGTTGCCTTCTCAAGGATCATGTGAATTGAACTATACATGTAATCTTTCCTGACTTTCACTTAGCTTTATGTTTTCAAGGTTAATTTGGGTGGTAGCAAGTGTTGGTAGCTGATTCCTTTCTATTACCAAGTAATGTCCTATTGTAACCAGAAGCAATGACCCATGTCTATAATCCCAGAGACTAGAAAGACTGAGTCAGGAGGATGGCAAGTTCCAGGCCAGCCTGAGCAACTTAGCAAGACCCTGTCACAAAAGAAAACAAAGGACTGGGACCTTAGCTCAGTGTTAGAGCACTTGCCTAGCATGGGTGAGGCCCTGCGTTTAGTCTCTAATATCAAAATCTTCTATACCTACAATGCACATATATACACACAAATACACACATATTTTATGTTGGGTGGATATATCACATTTGTTTATATACCAGTTGATGGACCTTAGGGTTATTTATACTTTTGGTTATTATGAATAATGTTATGGACCATTCAAGTACCAAATTTGGCAGACAAAAATTTCCATTACTTGGGGTGGGGCTGTGGCTCAGTGGTAGAGTACTTGCCTAGCATGTGTGAGGCAAAGGATATAAATAGATAAAATAAAGGTCTCTCAACTAATAAAAATATTTTTAAAAAAAATTTTTAGTTTTCAATTCTTTTAGGTATATAACTAAGAGTGGAATCTCTGGGTCATATGGTGTGCTAACTTTATTCTGACATTTCCTCAAATAATATTTTTCAAAAAACTATATTATTTTGTGTTTCTACTGCAATGTAGGAAGGTTGGTTCTACATTTCCCAAATTCTTACCAAGTTGTTAATATCTGGTTTTATTTTAGCTATCCTCGTGGATGTGAATAGTACCTTATTTTGAGTCTCACTGGCAGGTGATGTTGGGCATTTTTTTATGTGCTCACTGACCAGAATATCTGCTTTGGACGAAGGTCTCTAGAGAAAGGTCTACTCAGATGATGTGTCCATTTTTTGAACATTGTCTGTCTTTGTGTTGGGTTCTGTTCTTTATATATTCTGGATATATCTTCTTTTAAGACATGTTATTTGCACATATTTTGTCCTTGTCTGTCAGTTGTCTTTCCACTTTTTTGACAATATACTTTGAACAAAAGTTGTTAACTTGAAGTTCAATCTACACATATTGTTCTTTATCTCTGTGCTCTTGGTGTCCTATCCAAGAAGAGTTTGCCTAATATAGTCAAAATTTACTCCTATACCTTCAAAGAAAATTCCCCTTTTAGCTCTTACATACATATAGGTCTATTTTGAGTTAGTTCTTGATTTAAATTTGGGTAAACTTTGTGCATTGTGTGAGGGGTCAGGTGGATATCCAGTCACCCCAGCATATAACTGAGAAGACATTTCCCCCTTGTTGAATTGTCTTGACATTCCTGTCAAACTAAGTAACTGCAAAGATAAGGGCCAACTTCTGGACTCAGCTCTATTACAGTGGCCTGCAGGTCAATCTTTGTGCAGGTATTACCCTGCTCAATTATTGTCACTTTTTAATAAGGTTCACAGTTGGGAAATGTGAGTTCTCCAACTTTGTTCTTTGAAGATTGCTTTGGTAAAGTAATTGGTTGTTCAAATCCACAGTCTTATCAAGTTAATACTACTTGTGTAGAATACAAATTAAGATAAAATGTTCCAATAAAAAGTAGCCAATGCATTATACATAAGTTCTGATTTTAAAAATAACCTGTCATTCACCCAAAAAATAAAAAGAGAAAAGAAATGCAGAAAAAACGTGCTGCTCTGGGCAAGATGACCCAATGAATGGGCATCAGGGACTGAGGGAGAGTAGAGCCTAGAGCCCCTCTACCAGGCTGTTTACCAGGTGAGAAGAGCAGCAAATAGTTTTTATGATGTATAGTTCACACTATTTGTAGTCTTAAACTGCAACCTTCAGTGATTCAAGAAATACAGGAACATCTTTTCTTTGGGCAGAAGCAGTAATCAAATTGATGATTGCATAATTTTAAAAACAAAAAATTAGACTTACTTTGTAAAAAAATTTAACCCAACTAATTCTTTGTCTACTTTCTCTTTGGTATTTCTTGCATTTTTTTTCAAATATCTTCATTACAAAATCATAAGTAGTTTCCATTCAGAGTACTTCATAACTCAGGTTGGCACACAGAGTAAGGCTGTTTTCATACTGAAGACCTTCAAATAAAGATTACCTATAAGGAGCATATCACTTTGTTAACTGTCATTCCCAGACAGTCTTAATGCATCAGCCCTAATATATATACATATATGTAGATAGATAGATAGATATAGATATAGATATATGTAGATATATATACATATATACATGTATTATATATTTTATATTATACATATATACACATATATGCACATATCAACAAATAATATAGATACATAAAATAAGTATAATTACTATTAAAATGTTTTTCAGAGAGAAAATTGTTAATCAATTTTTAATTGATTTAGGCTTCCTACATTGTTTATTCAATAACTGAATACTGGGGTCCATCCCTAATATCAAAATCTTATATAAATACAATGTATATGTATACACACATATCCATACATATTTTCTTTTGGATGGACATATCCCATTTGTTTATCGGTATACCATTTGATAGACAGAAGCTTAATTGCTTTACAAGCAAAGGAAAAACCCAGGGGATTCTTGTCCCAGAGGCTGTGATTCTGCACATCAGGGGCAACAGAGGGTTTTTAAAGATGTGATTTCAGGTGTGTCCAGTCCTACTTCACTTGTTAATCTGGGATATAATCAATTTTAAATCTTCTGGTGCCATCCCCAACTCTGAATTTCTTCACTCCTGTGGTGGGTGTGTGCTCAAGGACAGATAACTGAATGGGGACAAAAAGTAATCCTGTTTCCCCCCAGGTTAGGGACAGGGAAAGGGGGATTTAAAAAAAACAAAACATCAATCTTAAAATAAGCCTCAGTGGCAGAGCATCATGCTGGGGTTTTTCAGGTTAATTTTTTCAGTTTAATTTATACTTAACTGAACATTAGTTGTTCATGGTGGGTGGGTGGTATTATTTAAAAGGGCATCGCTTTTATACCAGTTCAAATAGAACAACTTTCTAAAAATAATATATTAAATCTGTAGAACACTATATATTTTCCACTTTATATAAGTTTAAAGTTGTTGAAATCACTTTGATTCCTGTCCCTGGGACCAATTTGTTTTGAATTCATCTGCTTCAGAGTTTTAGAAATTGTGGAATCAACTGAAAGAACTATTTGTCTCAGAGTTGGGGAATTGACCACCTGGCGGGATAAGGAGGTGTTCAGTGGTGGAAATGTGTGAGAGACACTCCTGAGTGAAGGAGCAGTCTGAGCCAAAGTCCAGAGGGGAATAAGCAGGGTCTGTGGGAACTGGCATGCCCAGGGCTGAAAGGTGTGTGATGGATGGGGAGGGAGATGGAGCTGGAAAGAGAAGCAGGATCACATAGCGGGGAGCTCCCATAGGGCCTGATGATGCCCAAAAAACGTTTATTGAAGAAACAAAACAGAGATGGTAGGAGCCAAAGGAGGAGGTTTGGACCACATGGTTCTTCTGAGCCCTTTTGTTCCCTGACAACTAGGTAAGACACTTCTTAAGGGTAGGGCTATCCAATGCTCACTGTCCTCCCTGCCCCACTCCCCACTGGAAAATAGCTCCCTAACAACTGAAAACACAAGTAGAACCTCCTGAGGGTGTAAGGACCCTTTCCTGGGGGCTGTCCTGTGAGTTTACCACACAAAGTTGGGTACAGACAATTCTATGGTGGACCAGTCTTTCATGGAAGACAACATGCTCATGAGATGTCACAAGATGGAGTCCCTTATTCCATCAACTGCCAACCACTCTACCAGCACCAGCCCTACAATTCCTGATTGCTCAGAACCTGGTGACTTCATCTTTAAAGAACAATGGGTCTGGGGCATTCTGGGGACTCCCATTGGTGGGCAGAGTAGTGGTGAGTTCACTCTTTTCAGAGCCATAGGCCTGGTAACCAGAGTGAACCTTATGGATTCGCAAAAGGAGGACCTGGGCCTTCCTGGCCGTAAGTACACCTAGTCCTTTGAGTGTGGGGGGGCAAACTTTCAGGGAAGATCCTCTGCATGGATGGGGTGGTGGCTGCCTGAATGGAGTGCTATGTAGTTAAGAGACAGGCTTCTCTAGGAAACTAAGGATTCCTCGAAGGCAGAGACCATGTTCTGCCCAAGCAGAAAAGATACAATTGAGGTCCTTGCTCTTAGTGAGGCTTCTCAGTCTGAATGACTGCGTGGGCCCTGGACTAGTAGCCAGAAGGCCTGACTTGAGTCTGGGCAGGTCATGGCCCCTGTACACCTAGTGTTCCTTATCTGTAAAAGGCTAATGGGGGGGGCTGGGGATATGACTCAAGCGGTAGCGCGCTTGCCTGGCATGCATGCGGCCCGGGTTCGATCCTCAGCACCACATACAAACAAAGATGTTGTGTCAGCCAAAAACTGAAAAATAAATATTTAAAAATTCTCTCTCTCTCTCTCTCTCTCTCTCTCTCTCTCTCTCTCTCCTCTCCTCTCCCCCTCTCTTAAAAAAAAAGGCTAATGGGGACTCTTATGTGCCCTGCAAATATACCTTTGACTGAATCAGGAAATTATTAGGCATGTCTTTGATAAGGGTGGGAAAGAATGAGAGGATGAATGAGCCAAATCCAGGAGAGGAATGAGAAACAGTTCAGGCCCCAAGCTACAGCTGTCAGTCAACTTGCCTCTTTTGTTTTTTTTAACTGCCTCAGCGTGGATCCCATGGTACTTCGGATTTTGGGGGCTGTGCAGTCTGATAACTGGTGGCTGCGTCCCCTTAATACATTGGAGGAAGAACCTGAGGAGGAGGGAGCGTGCCCAGCAGTGGGTGGAGGTGATGAGAGCTGCCACATTCAGTTACAGTCCCCTGCTGTACTGGATCAACAAACGACGCAGATATGGCATGACTGCTGCGATCAGAATAGGCCCTACCAGGGCTGTTGCCAATACTGACATTCAACTCCAAATTCCGGATCTTCCATCAGAGCCGCACCCCCGCGAAGACAGGCGTCATGCCTTCAGAGGCAGCAGCCCTGAGACAGAAGCCCCTGTTTCCCTCCAACCTGCTCTGGTGGTCCCACCGCAGCCCTCACCTAATGGGATACAGAGCGCCAGACCCCATCCCCTTTCCCGATTGTCTTTCCAGAGATACCCTCTGCCCCACCCCTCCGCACCCTGAACTTTCCTCCCATGATGTCCCACTCTGCCTCCTACCCCTTTCTTGAGGGTCCTGAAAGGCAGGTCTTCTATTCCCTTCCCACACTGGCCCAAGGGGTGAACTGACCCAATGTGAATACTTTTACTTCAGGGTCATAGACTCCTCTCACTGAAAGTGAGAGATTCAGGGGCCAGGTATTAGGAGTTAACCTCAAGCATCTGATCATGACACAGAGGTCAGAGCCCATTTCGTGTTAATTAGTAAAATTTTTGAAAAGTCAGAGTCGTTTGCATCTCATTTGCCAGTAGGAAGGCAATGTCCTTCCCCGGTGTCATGGTGGCACAAGTCTCACCAATAAAATGAGAACTGGAGGCTGGCTCTGAGGAGACACATTGAGCCAATACTTGTGGATGAGCTCAATTCCCTCCATCAAGTATTCAATGTGTTCAAGACCCTGGGCTAGGTCCCCAAAGGCACTGCTCTTCTGCAGGATGGGAAGTAAAATTGCCACAAGAGTGACAGTTGCTGGGGGCACACAGCTATGCCAGTCCACAGTGACTATCCACCGGCCAAACAAGTCATCATGAGGTCAGTGAACCACACCACACTATGCGCTGACTGGGTGATACCTATGGTGTAGCCATACTTAGCTGGTTGTTTCTCTACATTATTTCTAACAGAACAACACTGCAAAATGGCTATTGTGATTTTTCTTTTACTGATGAGAAGACAGGTTCCAAGGGCTTATGCCGTTTCTTCTTTTTTTGTTGTTATTTTCGCTGAGCCTCTTCTATTTACATATGCCTGGCAATACAGTTCCTGGTCTTTCCACCCATGGTACTAATCATGTCTTCTTAAAACATCCTTGGTGAACGAATGCTTCACTGTGTGTAGAGTGTCATCAGCTTGGTCTACAGATTTGCTTACTGGAAGGGCTGGTGGCAACTACCTAATATCATATGGAGTAACATCTGCAAAGCGTGTATCTTAAGATATCCATGGCTGCACAAAAGTTGAGTCCCCTGTCCTTCCACTACATGAGAATATTAATAATTTTTATACTTTCTGGATAAGGTCCAAAAAGGAGACACAAAGATAATTATGAGATATTTGGGTCAGTTTAAAGATAAGAAAGCCTGATTCTGTCACACAAATTTTTCCCATTTACTTTGAAAATGAGCAAACCCACTTACCATATTTCATCTAAACTTTAAATGTACATGGCCCTGAGAGAAGTGCCTGTTTTTGCCTATTTTGTGGTCTGTGGTGCATGTGATTGTGATTCTCAGAAGTTAGTAAACATGTAGCTAATTTTTTATTCCTTTTTTCCCCCTGTGTTTGGGCTGAAGGGCTTAGATCCAGCAACTGCAAAGAAAGCCTGAGTCCTATCTATGTGACCTCTAGCAATATATTTTAAGCCATTTTCTTTCTTTTTTTTTTAAAGTTAAGGGGAACCATTTCTTCCTTGTGTAAACATGATCTTATATTGCATCTCAAAATACAAAACAGGACTAAGCAGATCTTCTCTAGGAGAACAGAGGCAGAGGTTCACGTCTCCCTCACCTTGGCCCCTCTTCACCTTGCTCCCTTCAACCCTGCAGAGACCTAAAGTCCATGACCAATAGTCTTCACTTCTTCACACCCAAGTCTCTGATCCTGAAGGTAGATTCTAGAACACTGATTTGTGCCAATAATTACGTAGCCCCTGCTTTCAAAGGAGGATAGAAGCCATAAACATAAATCAAAGAATATTTTCTTTCTCTTAACAACCAAGGGAGTGGGGGGAGGCTTTGTAAGACACAGTGAGAGAAAAACAAAATGTTTTATTCAGATAAGTTAAAATGGCTGTCACTGATATGAAATGAAGCTCAAACTGAGTTATAAAAACCTTGAATTCACCCCCTAAACTGAACCAAAATTGCTTATATGTTACCAAAATAGCTCCACTAGAACAAAAGTAGATTTGCATTACTTCATATGAGAATACAAGTTAGAGGTTGGGTTCGTATAACAAAAATTACATGCTCTATAAAATCTCTGGATACACAATTGTGTTCTGGTTTGGGTATGAAAGAAACCAAATCTGGTTGGTGTTGGTACGCAAGGCAATGAGATGCACAGCAGACAAAAAGCTGTCAATAAAATCTACTAGACAGGCCATTGACCCCATGGGAGTCAAAATTCTCCACTGTGACCAGCAGCGCCAGCACAGGGGGTTGGAGGGGTTATGTGCAGCAGTGCAAAGAAAGGAAACTGCAGTAGAATGCAAAACAGCTAGCAGCAGAGGAAGGGTGTCCACTCCTCAGCTTTGTTGCTGCAGACCCATTCCTGGGTGCCAGGTACGTTGCAGCATCTTGAAGCCAGGCACTCTATTCCTCTGCGAATTCTACAGGACCTGTTGCCTCTCTGAATAATGGAGAGGCCCTTTAATGGGGCCAGGCATATATATATAAAAGGGTCAGGAAGCAGTGATTTGGGAAACTAAAGAAAGAAGCAGTAGGAGCTGCCATGCAGAATAGCTAAAGGTTTGCAAATGAAAGTCAAACTCAGATCACTACCCAATCTTTCCCATATCACTATTGAACCTTTCTCAGAGAGCTGAGGATGTGGCAGGTGAGGCTAGAGTATAGCTCAACCAAGGACTAGATTGGGTGAGGAACCCATACAGATATAAATCCCACATTAACAATAAGTAATTGGTTTCAGGGGCTTGTAAGCTCATCTTCTTAACTATAACAAAGGAAGTTGAGATAATGACCGGTTTCTGTGAGACATGGTAGTTTCTCAGGCAGGATGACAGGGATCACAGGCCTGAGTGCAGAATGGGTGCATGTGGCAATGACCCAGCGATTTCATTCCTAGACATATATTGGGGGAAGAAAACATATCTACAAAACCCTGCACAATAATATTCACAGCAGTATTATTCCTAATAGTCCCAATGTGGAAACAATAACCAACATGTTAGTGGATAAATAAAATGGGCTGTGTCCATACAATGGAATATTACTCAATGAAGTACTGCTACATGCTACAACATGAGCAGACCAAGACGACATTACACTCTTGTACAAGAAGCATACACAAGGCCACATATTATGATTTTGTTCATAGGAAACATCCCAAACCCAGCATCACACCTAAAAGACACTGCAGTCCCATTAGTAATCACTCTCACTGTCTTCTACTCTCAGCCCCCAGTAACGACTAATCTACCTTTCATCTCTATGGATTTGCCTATTTTGAACAGTTCTTATAAATTATATATAAGACGTGGCACTTTTTGTCTCAGTACAGGAACAAAATAGTGGCTCCATAAATATTTGCTGAACCAGTGGAGAAGCAGTATAGAAAGAATTTATGGTCTAGGAAAAGGTCACACAATTTTAGAGGTATGAGAAACTTTAAATGTCATCTAGTCCAAATATCTAATTTTCTCGATAAGGAAATCTAGATCCCCCAAAATCTTGGACTGACCCAGGGTTAGTCAGACATAGAGTGATAGAAGTGAGAATTAAAACACAAAAGTTTTGATTTACAATGTAGGAGTTTTTTTCCCTATATTTAAAGTTTTTGTAGACTGACTCCCCATAATAAAAGTTCCCTTTTTCTTTTACTTCATCTAATATGATGCAGTGATCAGTACCTCCTTAGGTGTAGGGCTTGCTTACTTGCTTGTGTCTAAACATGGCTGGGTCTCTTTCTGGTGTTTTAGGATGAACTTGTTTCAAGAAAAAGACCCAAATCATTTCTCAATATGACCAGGCCCCTTTCAATCTCTAGTCTTCTGTTGCTACCATTGTTTCTCCCTTTGAGCAGCTGTTTTGTGGAGATCTCCTACTAAAATATAAGCCCTGCTTAATTTTTTTTTGTGTTTTTTTTTTAAACACGAAGTTAATTTTTTAATCAGAGGGAGAAAAGGCCATATTTTAATACAAAACCCGATGTGACAATGCATACCAAAGAACTATAATAGTCTTTAAGATGAAGAAAGCACAATGACAGAAATCATGATACAGTACACCTCTAAGAAGCCTACAACAGACTAAGAAATAAACACACACACCTCCCCAGTACCCCCCCACACACATGTATGTACAGGCTATATGAGCAATGATTTTTAAAACACATTGGAAGAACAGGATGAACATACCCACGTGTGCAAATGTACACGTTTTCCTTAGAAACATAGCATGGTTTTCTTTCATTTTACTAAGCTTACAGAAATTCAATCTAGAACTATTTCATGCCTAACACATGTAAAGGAAAGGGTATAAAGTAAAATTTTGCATTTTCCTGGGAGTTGTTGATTGCATTTTTTTTGGGGGGGGGTTAAAATCTACATACAAATAGAGGTTGTTATGATGCTTGCCATTTACTTTTAATAGATTACCAAAACACTTTATACAGCACTATTTACATTACAGTAAATATGTTACACCCACAATGGTGGCCAGGGGATCAGTGCTTTCAAACTTCTCCAGTACCTACATGTGGAGATCTAAAGAGGACAATATATCCAGAAGATAAGGAATGGTTTGCTCCCCACTGACAAAGTGCTCCCTGACCAAAGAAAAGTCCCTATAGGCAGTATCTTCTGGTCAGCCACAGTCATTGTCAAGGAGTCCAAACCCTCGAGGCTCTTCACTGGACCTTGCAGGTCTCACTACTCCTGGGCTCAGGTGCAGCACCTGGGCTTGGGGCAGGACGGCCTCCCATGGCTCTCAGGCCCTCTCTGGGGTTGGCAGCCAAGCTTCTCTCAGGAAGATGATTGACAGAGATTTCGTGGTGGACTCTTGGAAGGCAGAGCCTGAACCACCTTGGCTCTGTTGAGCAACCTTGACCTTTTGTGATCTGCTGCCAAGCCCTGCTTAATTTTGAAAGCTCACAAGCTGACATCCCCAGGAAGTATGACTCTAGAGTTCACTCATTCTCAGAGAATAGCTTCTGATATGTATTGTATTGCCTTGTTCTGATGCATTATCTAAAGACTAGAAAGATATTTCACGACTATGGACTTTAGGAACAGAACTCTAAAATGACTTTTGCTTATATATTTGTTTGGATATTGGATCCACAAACATGTGAAACTCCACAGCGTATCCAAATTATACACTCCTGTTTGATGTTTTCTCCTTGACGAAGATTGATGATCTTCTTGAGAATAAAGATTTCTGTGATCCTTTGAGGAAAAAAAAAATTGACTCCAGCCTTACCACTTGAACTCCACCTCAAACACTCTATTTTATAATCATGGCACAATTACTATTTTACCCCTCC